GATTTTTATTCTTACTACAATTAAAATTCTTCTACAATTAAAGGATTCTCCATCATGCTTCTTCTATTTGTATCTCCATTGTCTTAAAGTTGAGAACACAAGGTATGTTTAGCAAAGATAGTTGAAGCTTGAAAGTTGTAGTTTTTCTTTGTGCTCGCAAAAGTAATTATAAGTTTTTGAAAATGTGTATATATAATTACATAAAACATAAAGGTTATGTAAGGTTAAAAGCTAAAAAATGTTAAAATCTCTCAAAAGCTATCTGAAGTAGCTTTGGATTATGAGTTTTTTGTTATAATTAAATAAAAGTTTTAAGTTCGTACTCACAAACAAAGTTTTTTTTTTACTTTAATTCGATATTTTATAAAACCAAACACACCCAAAATCTCCAAACTTTCCATCATCACCCTTGCAGATTGTAACTACATTTAGAAATTCATTGTATAATCTGACATTTTTTTAGATACTAAAAGTCATCACATTGTCTAACCAAATTGTTTCTCATGAAATCAATTACCAAAAGACATTTCATTAAGTAAATGGTGATTATACTTTTTTCTCGATTGATGAAGCATATTGTTTTTCACACTTCTTACCAAATTACGATTTTTTTATTTGATCGTGTGTGCTATTATGTGTGTTTTTTATTGCATATAGCACATGTCTATCACTAGGTGATCGCAGAGCCATTATTTCACAACATATAGAGTATAACACTCTGCTAGTTCATTAAATGAAACTCGGGAGCAAAGATCTTTCCAAATCTTCTCACTTCCTTTCCTTTTTCTTGTTAAATGAAACTCGGGAGCGGAGTGTAAGTGATGATTAACAACTTTTATATGGTATTTCGATAATTTTCAAAGTACAACTATTTCCAGATTTTCAGGGTCCTGAAACTAATGATTATTAATAGCTCTCCAAAAAAAGCTATGTTTTCATTATTACAAACATCTCCCGAAATTCACGTGATCAGTTTGTAGCTCCTTGCTAGAGTTTTGCTGCTTCTTTAATACACTTCAGGGCGTTCCAAAAAAAGAAACATGTCTCGGAAAATAATATACAACAATAATGTTATAACAAAGCATTGAGGTGATGTGTATATCCACGCAACTTATTATTCCAAAACGAGAAATTTCAAGTACACCGAACAAATAAATTCCAAATATTACAAGTTCCAAAAAGGTATTTTGGCACAATGTTGCAATTATAACACATGCTATACCTTTTACTTTGCACATTCCTTGTTTAGAGATGATAAATTATCATATCTACAATCTTGGTGAGGGGCGAGCTCGAGGTGCATCCCACTCGGTCACAATGTGATCACGTGTGATCTGTTTGAGTGAAGTGCAACCACTCAAAGCCATTGTTAGCTCAAATTCTTCGCGTAACATTTGAAGTACTTTTCTCACTCCAAGTTCTCCTTCAGCAGCTAAGGAAAACACCACCGGTCGTCCAATCTAGAATTTCATAAATTAATTTAGAAGTTGTTTCTTTTTTACTTAATGGACTTGATCTGGTAAGTTGTATGTGGGTGTTTGTTTGATTTTTTACTTAGGAAAACAAGGTTTTCCCCATTATTAAACTCCCAAGTCCTAACCTTTTGTAATAGGAAAAAAACAGGTCCCCGGTTTTTTATTTGAGTAAATCACTATTTTGGTCCCTGATTGTAGCTGATTTTTGCAATTTTGGTCCTTTGTATGTTTTTGGTCCATGTTCCAAGAAAATTACTATACTTTTGGGACCTAAACTGCAAAAATCAGCTATACCTAGAGACCAAATGTAGTCATTTTACTTTGAACAGAGACCAAAACGTTACAAGAACCTCAAATGCAGACCAAAATTGCAAAAATCAAGTATACTTATGGACCAAAAATGTAAGTTGCTCTTTTTATTTTTCTTTTATATGGTCCTATTTAGGATTGTGAGGCCAGTTTATTAAACTTTAGCCTTTTTATAAGGTCAGTTTCAGCTGGTCCCCACATGCTATAGGCCAAGCAAGCATACAGGGACCAGCTGACATGACAGTATGTCAGCATTGTACTTACAAATATGCCGGAAGCTCCAAGAGCCAAAGCCTTGAAAACATCAGTCCCACGGCGGACCCCACCATCCAAAAACACGGGGACACGGCCTTGTGCAGCTTTCACAACCTAATGCAAAAGTTACCACACCTCGTTAATCATTATATAAAAAATAAGACTGTAAATAATAATAATAATAAAATATATGGAGAAATTGAATACCTCTTCCAAAGCCATGATAGTGGCAGGTACATAGTCCAGCTGGCGAGCTCCATGATTAGATACAATAATACCCGCTGCACCAGCTTGAATCGCCAACCTTGCTGCAAATTTTTTAACAAACACGATATTTATTAATTATTTTTATAAAATTAAAAATTTGTTGTAAATTAATTTTATTCTTACTGTCTTCAGCAGTGATGACACCCTTGACCAGAATTGGCATGCTGGTGATGGTCTGGAGCCACTTCACATCCTTCCAGCTCAGTGTGCGGTCAATTTGACCAGCAACATAAGAAGCTAAACCAGAGTCATTAGCCTGCATTGTAATAATGTACATTATGTCATTAGACTTTAAACTAGAGGTGCTTTGACTTTGACTTTGACTTTGACTTGGTCAAAATGTGATGAATTTAGTTTACTTACTTCATCCATTTTTCCAAGGTCTAAACCCTCAAAGTTCTTCAATGTCAAAAATGGAGGCAGAGTAAATCGGTTTTTGATGTCTGCTTCTCTTCTTCCAAGCCTTGGTGTATCAACTGTAAGAGCAATGGCCTTGAATCCAGCTTTTTCAGCTCTCCTCACAAGCTGAGCAACAACATTCCTGTCCTTGTACACCTGATAAATATAATACATCATACAAATTTCTTACATAAACCTGAAAATTATTGATACTTGAAGATTTAAGATTTAGAAAATAGAAAATGGTTGCTTACATAAAGCTGGAAGAAGCGGATTCCAGGTCCAGTTGAAGCAACTTCCTCAACACTAGATGTTGCCCATGATGACAATGTCTACAATCAATACAAAATAATTATTTATCATACAAATTTCCCATGTGAGAATTCAAATTAACCAGGTCAAAAAGTCAACCATGATGGTTCCAGCTGCAGATGCAGCTCTAGCTGTTGCATACTCGCCTGCATTCAACAATGGTGTTAGATATGAAGCTTTACAGAAACAGAAATGTCCTAACATCATAATCAAAGAAATATAAGACTTGAATGACACAAATCTTGGTGAAATATGTGTTTTTCACCTTCAGGATGAGCCATTTTCTGCATAGCTGTTGGGGCAATCATTATAGGCATAGATAATTTGAATCCCAAAATTGTTGTGGTCATGTCTATTTTGCTCACATCAATTAGAATACGTGGCCTAAACCTGTTTAATTAACAAATAAAAAGCACTCAGACACAAAACATCACAGATTTAAATGTATTTAATCTCAAAACATATAGAGGGCTTACAAGATTCTTGAAAAGGCGTTTCTGTTTTCTCCTAGTGTCCATTGGTCCTCAGCACCTGAAGCATAGTAGTCATAGATCATCTTAGGCAACTTTTCTTTGGCAATTGCTTGATACTCTTCAACATTTGTGACCTCCATCTTTCTTATCTACCCCAATGCTTCCTCCAAGAAACCTTGATTCAAAAGAAACTGATTCTTATATTCATAACCCATGGTGAATCTTTCATCTTTCTTTTGTAAACTCGTTTCATATCAACAAAAATGACAACTTTAAGTTGTAAAACTATGATCCACGATGAACTTGAGGTGTTTTTTATTGTTTAATAACACCTAAAGTGTTCTTTTTTTGTTTCTTGATCCAAAATGCTAATCGAAACGTAATTAACATGTTAAATAAAGTAAATATGAAGAACACTTTGAACAAAACATACCAAAATTAGAAATTAAAGATGCCCACAACAGATTTTAGAGGTAAAGATTGCAAATCAACAGCTTAAAGATGAATACGCAAGCAATGATGAGATGAATGTCTACTCAACTTAACTCTGATACACATCAGTTTGAAATAAATATACGAATAATTACTCAACTCAGTAATATAAATGGAATAAGGGGTATGGGTTTTGGTGAGAGAGAACCAGAAGCAAACCTTTTGGGCAGTTGGGTATTTCCGTTTCTATTGAAAAGAGTGAGCAAAACCCAAGTGGAGAACAGGTATAGATAAGCAACAAAAATTGTAAAAAATGGAGGAACTAAAAGACAAAAACAGCTTAAAGATAAAGTAGAGAGAGATCATGGGTCATGTGTGTACCAGATAAATTTAAAGAAATGTATGAAGAAAATGGGATGAAGACAAAAATAGGGGATGGGTAATTGAAGGTAAGGAATGAAAACCAAATCCAATCGAGGGGAGGCAACTGGGTGGCTCTCCTCCACATAATTGATCGTGTGTTTCATAGTTTTTCTCCATTATCCACATTCTATTTCTTCCCCGAAGTTGAAAGAACAAATAGGAAATGAAAGATTTTGGAGGCTTTAAACGCAAAAGTCGCCACCTTTTCTTTTTCTGGCAGACGATTGGTAGGGCAAAGGTCAAAGGCCATTGATAAGGATAAGGTCACGAGGTCTGAGACGAGGGCCATTGATAAGTTGGTATACAGCTCCAGTGAATTACAAGATATGTTGTGCCATATTCGCAACGGAGAAGAGAGGGGGTC